CAGACCAGTCCATTCTATATATATATATAAACTTCTTCGTGTATATATTAACTGATACATGTAAATTACAAAATTACTTCATTTCATTTTCGATCTTATTACTTTTGTTTATTTTGATTGTTAGATTTGAACCATCTTCATGAAATCAGAAACTATCGCAAGTATTGAAATTCTAACTTCCTGTTTTATGATAAATTTCCTCTATGGCGCTTCAGTAAGAATGGTTTCATTGTTTTTTGTGGAGTCTATTCATCGATTTGAAATTAATCGAAAACAAGCATCACTTCCATATGTTCTGCCTTTTGTAATGAAACATCTTTGCGGTAAGTTTTGCGGAAATGTTTTTTGGTTAGGAACATAAGCTTTTTCACTGAAAATTATGAATCTATAAAATTAAAAAAAATTTGAGTGCTCCTCACCATTTTCCTTGAATCCTACATTTTAGCTTGGTGGCTTTTTCTGTTTTTAACTTATAGGCAAAGAAAATGCTTTTTTATTGTCAGTAGGATCATCGCCAACTTGACGACGACCTTTTCGATCTTCTCGCCTTTGGCGGCAGTTCAGGTGACAATACCCTTATCTACTATTCCAAAATTCAAAGGCTTTAACAAGCAAAATGTCAGAGAGAACTCACTAGAAACTTACCTACTTTTCTCTTTAACGGCACGTAATAAAATTCTTTGGTTTTGATGTATGCAAAGGGCATCTTTTTTTATGTACAGAATCGTAGTTTCATCTAAAAGCCAGAAAAATGTTCGAATTCGTTGTACATTTTAATCAATTTTAGAAACGAATATTTCAAAAAATATATAATAACGGATTACTTATAGGGAATTCTGTCTTTTCAATTTGTTTGAAAAGAAATTAAAAGATTAATTTATAAACGGAAAAATTCGAACGTATTTAAAGCATAAGAGATTTTAAATTAACATAGGAAATTATATTGTTTATTTAAATTACAACATTGAATTAGTAACTGTCATTCTAAGATTTTAAGAAATTTAAACTCTCTGGGAGTATTTCATTAGACAAATGATAGCAAACAAAAACATAAGTTACTCGTATACAATAGTTAGTTCAAATTCCATGATACGCAATTAGATTGTGGGCAAAAATAACAAATCTATTGCAGCATGGAATGAAAGTTAACTTATTTATTCTTGTCTACTACCTTAATCATAAAATTTGGGAAGTAACCATATTTTCAATCTGTAGGATATGACAATACTTTAGGCAGGAGAACGCTCGAAAGTTTGAGCAACTTGTTATTCATTTCACTTTTTGCGTGTTTCGCCATAGCTATAGACCTAATGAAGCCAAACAGAAAATTTAGATCCAAAATAAAATAAAAAATTATCAAAAAAATAATTCCACGTAAGTAGTTATTTTTCATAATTATTTTCTATTACTTAATTTGCGAATGGTCGAAGAAATTTTGATTTACGGGGTATACAAATTTTTACCCCTATATAGTACACGTAATTTTAAATGACGAAATCTAAAGTTTGAAATGATTCAATAGATTGAATATTTTTTAAGAAATAAAAATTACCTTCAAGAGATCCAAACTCTTGACCGCTCTTCTGCCTAAACTATAAAAGCTATGTTTTTTAGATTATAGAAACCCTGTTTACATAATTTTAAGGTGTTAGAGTCCGAAACAGCGTTTTTAAAAGAAAAAATATAATCATTCTTTTATTCAGAGAAAATGCATCTTGGGGTCGGATTTTTGGACTTCTAACTCATCATATTTGCCTTCCAAACCCTTAAGGGTAAGACACAATTACGAAGCATTCCGATAAATAGCAAAGAGTAATAAATAGGTAATATTTTAGGCTTTAATGGGTAATATTTAGGTAATAATTAATAGGCTTATTTATAACTCTATGATAAATAGATCCAAAGTTGTTTAGGGTATTCGCTTTTTTGAGCACTGCCTATCAGCTAGTGACGTTATCTTCCACTCGACTTGGAGAAGATATGTAAGTAATTTCACCAATTTTGGACATGGACCTTATCGATGAGGATTGATTCGGTGATCCAACTCATCTCAAAGCTTTCCGATATGGTTCGTATGTCTGGGTTCGGAACAGACCAGTCCATTCGATTAATCCCATTGTTACTATACCAATCAATAGTGAACCTTTCAATATGATAGCTAAAATTTCCGTTGTGAAAGTAACATGTGTCGAACCCGTAAAAATTCCACAACTTGAGACGCACACTGCAATCCAAAATAATGCAGTAGATGCTGGTATTAAGCTTACCATAAATGTAGACCATAACTTCCAGTCCAAACGCAGATCTAACAGGATCAGATAATAATCGTTTGTTTTGATGTTATTATAATTGTATTAGTTATTTCATTATCATATTATAACATGTTCTGGTATACTTATTTATTTATCAAATACTGATTTCTCAAGGATGCGTCCTACGATTATTTTAAAAATATGTTGTATTTTTTTATCGTCATAACATAAAATAACAAAATATTTTGTGAAATTACTTCGGAAAAATATCATCATACGATGATAATAATTACTCACTTGTATGCTATTTATAAAAGTGTCTAAGCTTTTATCGAGCATTTTAAGTTCCACATAGAAAAATAAGAGGGCATTACTTTTAGTGTAATAAAAATTTCATTTTCACAATCTAAAAATTCAACTATTTTTAGGTCCCCTTCAAGGATATTTGCAGCAACTTTTCCAAACAAAATCACTCATTGTTTTCGCAAATGTGGGGACAGTAATCAGTATTGGTGCTTGTTTCTTTGCAGAAGACATTTTAACAGTAACAATCTTATGGGGTCTCATATTTGGTAAGTTAGCTCTCCTTGTAAGCAGATTGTGTTGATCACTGAAACGGAATTAGGCTTAGCTTCTTACTTTCTCACACTTTTAAAAACTTTCTGCAAAAATAATATGACACAAAATTGAACCATATTATTGTGTTACATAAACTTGATTACTCGATACTATCACTCAAAATTGTCAAAATACTGTAAAATTTAATGCTTTTAAAGATTGTCACAAACTTGTATGTTGGTTAAACACTAATCAACATTAGGCTCATTTCTTACATTTGTGCTTTTCAATAGAATCGGAATGAAAATATCAATTCTTCGGTAATCTAGGTCTTGAAAAAAATTTAAAAACTGGATGATTACTCAGGGACGTTTAAAATCAGCTTAATTCATGAGTTCCTTTAAAATTAATAAATTTTGAAATTTGTTAAATTTTATAAGGCTTTTAAGATTTTATGTTATGGCAATATAATTTAATAATAATTGTAACACGTGTTTTAATGTTATATATTTATAAATTGGTAATATATAACATTTATGAGTTTTAACTTTCATCACTTTCTTTCGAAGTTGATGCGCGTTTCATAGTAAGAAAACTAAAAATGCAACTATTAACTTTTGCTTCGCCTCAAGTTGAGATCCCGAAAATTCTAGGACAGTTTTTGTTACTATTACAGATTATCTAAATTCCATAAGCTGTAAATCCTACAATTAATTCTGTAATCATTTTACAATGTGTCCAGTTTCAGAAAGGTAATCAGCTCTTCAAATTTTTAGATCTTAGAGAGATGAGTAGCAACTCTCGAAAATCAAGACAAAATTTTAAGTCATTATGAAGTCACAAAGTGCTGTTTATACGTTTTCACCTAAAGTGTTCCAATCCGCTTACCGCTCTCTTTTGTGCGAATATCTGCATTTAACTACTGCAAATGTTAACTGAGGTTTAAGCCTAGATTAGCTAGGTATTCCAATATTTCTATTTTTAAAGCCAGATTAAAATTTCGTAATTGAATATTACGGTTAAACTGGATATTTTTATGTTATTATAGCAAATTGAGTAAAAGCTGGTGCTTCAATAAACAGGAATCTTTCAATCAAACGCACGTAGTAAAATTTTGAACAGGCAGCAAATACGTTTTGCTTCACCTAGCGCCACCAATACCTTAGACACGCCTTTGTCGCTAACAACGATTATATTTACTCCTTAATTTGATAATTTCTTTAACAAGATGCCTTGTAAAATTAAAGAAGTTTCAAGATGGTAACCAGCACTTGGGATCTTTAGATCTAGCCGATTTAAGCAGTAGCTCATGAAGATCTCGACAAAAAATTAAGTAAAATTAATTAATGAACGGCATAAAGTGTTTCCAGTAGTTAATGCTATTTCACCCAAAATGTTTGAATCCGATTTCCGAACACTGCTCTCTTCTTCTGCATTTAAATATTGCTATAAATGATGATCTAGTCTAGATAATACAGGAGAGTATTTTAATTTTTAACCACGATGAAGCTGAACTATTTTAAATTTCAATCGACTCCTGCGCATTTTTGCTTCCTAATTAGAGAGGCCGACTTGCCCACCATTTTGGAGCAAAAGCTTTTCACCGATGCGAAAGAGCTACAAGATTTGGCAACTTATCTCTGCAAACGACACTAACCTTCACTAGCATAATCTGTAAAGAAAAGTGTGTACAAATTTATTTCAAAATTTATTATTGTTATTTTAAACCAAAAATATTATTCATTACTAAATAGAAAGTTTATACACATCTTTGGTTCTTTGAAAAATAATAAAACAAAATAAAAGCAAGCAAATGAAGAAGAATCAGCAACGTTTTAATTGCATTAGATTTAAGCTTATCTAAAATTGCCGTTTTCATTTTGCCCAATATAAAATATTTCGCATAGCATGAAAATAGTTTACAGTTCAGTTTGTTATAATTACATAAGTGCCTAAGAAAAATATTTTATCTATTTCTTCTAGGTATTTGTTATGGTCTTGGAGTTCAATATTTACCATTACTGATTAATGCCCATTTCACAACAAACCAAAGTAAAGCTAATGGCTTCGCATATTCAGGAGGTTGTTTTGGAGGGGTAGTGATGCCATTAATAATGGAAATATGTATAGAGTATTACGGACTTAATGGATCATTCCTAATTTTATCTGCAATTGTGGCGAATTTTATACCATTCTCTATGTTACTGAAATCACCAAAAGAAAGTTCACTAAATAAAGTTCAGAATCAAAAAGCTAACATGAAAGTTAGTTGTATTGAAATCAAAGACACTGAGAAAACACCTTCGCCTTTTCTAAGTCCTGGTGATAATAATGTAAGCCTAACATTACACAACAAATCCTTTCCAAAGGACACTGAAGCTGCAAACTTTGACGTCAATAAAGAGACTGAAAACAAATCTAATCGCCCGGTAGAAAATAAAAATCTAAAAACTGAGCCTCTATCAGCTTTTACTCTTCAAAATTTCAAAATTTTCATAGACCCAGCCTTCATTATCATACTACTTATGTCTACCGGCACAATATACATAACAACAGTTACATTTACAATCATTCTTGATTTTGTACGCGACAAAAATGTTGGAGCTAACCTGGAGGTTTATTATGTCATGATATTGGCTCTAGCAGATATATGTGGAAGAATAGGATCTGGATTTGTTATAGACAAACAAATTTTACCTTCACCTACGGTTACTTCAATATGCTGTGTGTGTACTGGATTATCTTGTCTTGGTCTATTATGCATTAACAATTATTTATTTCTGATGTTTGTGGAGTTCTTGCTTCCGTTATTTTTTGGATCTAATTTGATTTTACAAATTACTTTAATACATGAATACATGCCACCAGAGAAAAGAAGTATGGCAATGGTTTGTAAAACGATGTTGTATGCACCATTAAGCTTTGCCATATCACCCATGATTGGTAAGATGTATTTTAAATTGTGCGCTATTGAAACATTCAACATTTTTAAACATTACTACTGATAAAAGGTTTTTCAGACATTCTAATTACTTCCATTAAAAACCCCTATTCTTTCAAATTCTAAAAAAAAATTAGTTAATTGTAATTTTTGAAACAGATTATAGTTATAAATATAATAAGCCTTTAATGTTTTTAATTATTTTTTTTTTGCTTTAAAGCGCTTGTAGTATTGTAGTAGTGCTAATAAAGTGTATGTATGCAGTAAAGTTCCAAAGGTGTAAAATCCTATTAAAATAATTCAAACTGACGCTACAAAATTTATAAAGCTAAATAAATAAATGAAATAAAACCGAATGCTAAAGCTTAACTTTTAAGAATTAAATAATAAGTTAATTAAGAATTAATAACTTTTAAGAATCAATAGAATACAAAACTACTTTTTTCACATAGTTAAAAAAAAACTTAACAGTTGCTTGAGTGACTCGATTGACTGCCGTCAAAATTCATGTTTAGTAGCACCTGATAAAATAAATTATTAATTTTTCAGTTCATCGTTTTTAACATAACTAACTGAACATCTTCAATAGCGATTACATTCTGAATAATATTTTTGTTCGGTTTTTCCCCCCGCTTAAATTATTAATTTAAAGAACCTTAATATGTTGATAATTACTTCAATTTTTTCAAAAATTCCTAAAATTAAGGTTAATTTTAAGACACTCTCTGTTTAAATGAGATGCCTCGAATGCCCAACCTGGGTTGGGGCTGTTGTATTGAGTGTTTCATTGCATCATTTCCTGCTTCACTGATTGCAATACTTTTTAAATTCTTGATTGCTAGAACTTTTCACTTTTCTCTCGGATATAAATAAACATAAATATTTTTCATTAAGCTTAGGTAGAAAAAAACTTGTCAAGGTTACTAACACTAGATACGATGTCACCGTTAAAATTCAACTTAATTTTAGAGTTGCACTTTTTATTATATTTATGAACGGATTATTTTTTAATGTTATATTTTATTTTTAGGTTATTTCAGAGAAGAGCATGGATCTTACGATGGCGTTATGTACACTCTAACGGGTATTTCCTTTTTCTCTGGATTCATCATTTACTTCGTCCCTCATTTAGCGAAAAGAAGACGGGCAATAACTTCAAACAATGTGACATAATTTCATGAAGAATTTGTTGAAACGCATACTAGCATTTTTTACATTTCAATTTTTCCCTTAATTTGCAGAAATATTTGTTACATTGAGGCGTATTGTAATAGTTTAGTACAAATTCTTTTCAATAGTGGTTGGTAGTATTTAGTTTCTTTGTAGAATTCAAGTATTATGAACGTTTCAGATACATTTTAATTTGGATATGATGTAGGGATATATATCCCAGAAAAATGAATAAAATCGTTTAGGAAAAATTTATTTATTATGTAAATCTTATGTTGAGCATGGTCACATTCCTTAATTATAAAAATAAAGAAAAGTCCCTCAAAGGGATCAAGAAAATCATTCTCTTAGCATCAAGAATTTCTGTATCCAATTTAAAGGTTGGAGCTGAGAGCCAGTTTTCACGCCAATAATTCGAAATTAAAAGGAAATGAATTGTTCCCAACGGACAGTTAGGAGCATGGTTTGAAATTTATCGAAAGATAACATAACTGAAAATAAAGTCAACCCCACATAATCAATACTAAATTTGAAAAAAATTTGGTGAAAGCGAATCGCCAAAAAGACTGGGAGAATAAGTATAACCATGTAACTGAAAAAATTTTTTGTGGTAAGGAATAAAGAGTTATAAATAGATTTTCGTTTTCGATTTAGTTGCCACAGTAAATTAAAGAGTCTTACATTAGTATTGAAATAAAACGTTAGCCGTTACATTGTTTGATAAGAAAAGAGTAAAATATTTTATAATAGCTTTTTATAAAGTGTAATAAAAATTTAATAATTGGTTTAATTTAATTAGAACTCAATTACGAATGATTAAAAATTGAAATTTAAAAAATTTTAAAAGCTAGGAAATATGTAATGCTTATTGTGACTTTACAAGGCTTTGCGAACATAAAACACTACAAAAAAATTACTTTTAAAAGCACTGCTGTCAGTGTGTGCCAACGTAAGCCCCGGGCGATCCTGAAAACGGCGCCCTTAACTCAATTTTGGAAAAGTATTATAAATTTTGAAAAAAAAATTCCCTCGAATTGTCTCGCTCATGTAGTTACGACACTGTATAAAATTGCGTTTTATATTTTAAATTACAATATTTTTGCAGAAAATTATAAAATCTATATTAACATTAAATGTTAATTTAGCAAACAAATGAAGAAAACGCAATCTTATATGGTTTGCGAAGCAAACCATATAAGATTGCGTAGCAATTTTCGGGGGTTGGCGAGCGTTAGTGAGCAGGGGACGCAGCCCACTAGTAATAATAAAAGTCCTCAATAGTTTAGTTTCAGTAGCTCAGAATTTAGAACTTTGATCTTAAAACTAAATTCAGATTAATTTTACTTACCAGAAGCAAGCCACATTATAATTTTTTTGGGATAAAGGCAAAATACAAAAATAAATAACATAAAACTCTTCGGAAATTAATTGATTTTATTTTAACTGCAATGTGTGATGTCACACTTCTTGTTACCCACTCCTTTTTTTGACGCAAACACCTACAACATTACGAACGCGCAATCCTTTATTAACAAACAAATCCATTGATATATTTTAATACATAGATTCAAATCCGTTTGCAGAGTTAAAAATAATTATGTGGTCGAGACACTATTTAGTGAAGAAAATCACGAATTATGAGCTCCATTACACTGTAAAAAATTCCGGTAAAAAGTACTGGCATTTTTACCTGAACATGTTATTGATTAAAAAAGATCTCATAAATAGTAAATTTTAAAGTAATAATTTCCACAAAAACACTGGATTACTCTAATTAAAAAATATTACTGTAAAAATTACAATAAAATATTTTACGGTAAAAAATGGATTTTGCGGTAATATGGGTGTTACGGTTGATGCACCGAAAGTACCGGTACTTTATACCGTAATTTGATATGGATTTTTTTACACTGTAATAAATACATTTTTATGGCATTAATTAAAATTAAAACGAAGAGAGTGATCAAGGCGTCAATATTGTATTTTTGGCGTGAAATTTAATTAATTTCCAAGGTCATTATTTATTATTTAATTACTTAAAATTTATAAAATTTCACAAATGTAAAAACCGGTAAAACGGAAATTACTTCAGAAATATTTATACTGTATGATTTGAAGCAAAAAAGAACGTTGAATTTGTTACAAGATCGAAAAGCACTATAAGTGCTATTATGTGATAATGCTATTTGAAGATGAAGTTTTATTGATTCTATTAGCGTATGAGTACAATATATACTAAATTTTCTATCGAAGTTATCGATATGAAAAAATTCTACAATAAACGTTTCATTTCCGCCTTTAGTATAAGTTTTAACTAATCTTTTTAAAAGAAAAACGTAATCAAAGGAAAATGTCTCAAAGGTGCTTCTCTTTAACTGGGGAAACATTAAAATTCATTTTTCTCTATTTGGGAATCTAATCTCCATTAATGGGAGTTTATGGAGTTTAATCTCCATTAAAAAGAGGAATATTAATTTTGTAACATTATTTAGTTTATAAATACTGCATAGAGGGCATATTAAATTTAAACTCCAGTTATAAGAAAAATTTATGTTAATCTTCAAAAGGATAATAAATGTTAAATTTAAGCTCCCTTTATAAGAAAAATGTTAAATTCAATCTCCATTAATAAGAAAAATATTAAATTTAATCCCTATAATAGGAGAAATATTAAATTTAATCTCCATTAATAAAAAAAATATTAAATTTAATTTTCTTTAATTTAGGGATATATAAAATTTAATCTCCATTGATTAACAAAATATATCAAATTTATTTTCCATCAACAAAAATATATTAAGTTCTTTCCTTTTAATTGTTGAGATATGAAATTTAGTCTCTTTTCAACCACAGCAATATTTAATTTCATTCAAATAAAATTCTGTTTCTATTTAAATCAGCATCATATCGCTGGTTCAAAACTAAAACGACACATCTGCAGGCATAATACGTTTGCAGATGTGTCGTTTTAGTTTTGAACCAGCGATATGTCTTCCAAAAACATGAACTCAGATGCATAAGACTATCATAATTTTTCATCTTTATTTGACAAAGCGAATGAATTGAAAATGTTGCTTACAAATTCTCCACTTAGACCTTCACACAAGACATAATCTTGAAAACAAAAGCAAACTAGACAATTGTTTCATAAACATTGATCATGATTAGTTTGTAAAGATTACTCGGTATTTTAAACCCGTGGATATTTCATTTGTTACCTATTATCCAAATGAAAAACTGCTATAACAATCTATATCCTCAGGATTTAAAAAAGAAACGGTAAGAATTTCCACATTTTATTAATTTTCTGATTTAAAAAAACGATTCAATTGTTTTATTAATATTTATCTCAATAAATACTTTTATCATTTATTTCATGTATTAAATTACAATTTAAAATGTACAATTACAATTTAATATGGCCTTTGATATGGCCTTTTTGCACGTTTTTTATAAATATCTCAAACACTTTGTACACAAAAGTGCATTTAAAAAATTTCGGATCAAATTACGGTAAAAAGTATCGGCACTTAGAATGCCGGTATTTCTTATCGTAGAATCAATTTTTACCAATACAAGAACAAAAAATCTGATATACCGTAATTTTTGCAGTAATTATTACCGTGAAATCGCTGAATCATTGTAATTAAATAAATATTATTAATAATTAAGGTACAATATTTTACGGCAATAATGGATTTTATGGATGATGCCCCCCCCCCCATGTGTCAGTACTTCACGCCACAATTTGTTCCAGAATTTTTTGCAGTGTGGTAGTTATAATAAAAATATTATGCATTTTTTTTTAAATATAAAAAATATTATTTCTTCTTCCGTTAAAAATTTCCATATAATTTTCTCTTAGAATTACAATGAATTGATACTTTTTTGTATAACTGTATATAACATTTTAAATAACAGTTTAACTAAAATGAGCTGTTAACTTAGAATAAGTATTGCAATAAAATGTTGTCTGAAAAATATAGATGTTAGCATTAACATCTGTTAACATTATTATTTTTTACTTATTCTAGAAACTACACTGTTTATAAATGACTTTTTAAGCATGGATCAAACCTTCGTTTTTGGGGGTGGTTCGGCCCACTGTCATTTAGGTTTTAATACCTTTACAATTACATATAATTTCACAGTTATTAAAATTTATGAAGAGCAATGTCTAAAAAAATTTATAGTTAAAAATTATGTTGAAATAAACTTTAAGTATTTATTTACAAGTGAGGGAAATCTGAACTAAAATTGTTAAGTGAATTAAGTTTGATTCAGATAATTAAACTATCTAAAATAAAATTTATTAATGACTTTATTTTTGTTTTCCTGTTCTTAATATTTTGTGGAGTTTTCTTTGTTTTTGCCTTATGTGTAGTGTTTCTGCGTGACAGGGATACTTGTCAAAAATTTTCGTTTGACACGACAGGTCAAAAATTTAAAAACGCATAAAATTAATACTAAACAGTAAGTCCTAATAATTTAGTTAATTATATTTCTAGTATTCCCTCTTTTTCCAATGTTTACATATATGCTCTAATTTATTTTTTGTACCCTCTCATAATCCCCTCACACCTGTTTCGCATCTCTTCTCGTTGATTATCTCGTTCAAGCTTATTCCTCTACTGATTAAACCTCTTTGTACTTGTTTAGCTCTTTAGTTCTCTACTGTCATTTGGTGTTTAGACACTTAGGAAGGATTTTGTTTTCAGAACCGAAACTATAATATGTTTATTACTGTATCTTATTTGCACTTTGTTCACGTTGTTTTCAGCTTTTAATAAATACATTGGTTTTTAGTATATTAATCTAAACATACAAAATTCAGCTTTTTTCTTATAATACATGATTTTTGGCTGATATCGCATGGCATGATTTTACATGGCAAAATCTTTCATAATTAGCTAAATATATGTTAAAATATAAGAATAATAGGCTTAATGAAACCTTTGAAGCTTTGACTTCTAAAATTCCTTAGATAAAATGACCAAGTTTTACTACACTTTTCGAAATTTAATTCATATTGTAAAACATTTTTTTTTATTAATTTTACCAAAATCATTATCAAACTAAACTGATTATATATATATATATATATATAAATAACGATAAATGAGTACCAAGCATGCTTGGGAACTAAACACTGGGGGTTCCGCGTTCGGCTGCCCACCTGACCGGAACATCTGCTCCTGCACCCCAGAGTACAAGGTCAAGAAAACTGAGG